ATATTCTGGAGATGCAGACCAGATTAAAATAAAATCTTGGTACCAGATTCTCTTGAAGCCTGATAAAACTTTATTTTAGGTGCTAGATAGACCAACCATGAATTCTCCCTGGTGCCCCTTCGTAATTGATTCTATCATTGATATTTTTTGTTACTATCTGAAATTCTTTCTACAGTGATTGGAATGAAATCTATCCAATTGAGGAGTTCCTTTCTTTTTAAAAAAAAAACACTCACTTGAATTAAAAATAAAACAAAGCCTTTTCATTCTTGCTTAGGGAGTGAGATGATCTTGTTTAAGGGGGAAAAACGTACCTTCTGTTAATTTCTTTCTTGCTGAAACTTTTCTCAGCTTCTTCCATTTGGACAGTTTCACTGGCTTCACAGGGGACCGATCCCAATCATTCAGTAATTGAAGCAGATGCTTCAAACAGCAGCTCGGAGATGTCGTGCAAGGGTGACAGAATTAATTCACTGTATTTTTACAGCCAGGGACAGGAGGGTTTTAATATTACATATTCTGCCCCCAGATAAACCTGTTGGCTAATTCCTCAAGTTATTTACCTGAGGAATTGACCAACAGGTCAATTCCTCAAGTAAATTTCTCAGGGAGCTTGTGGGAACCACGACCTGAATGATTGAGAATCTCTACAGACTTTTAGCTGTACAATTTGGGATGAACACCCTTTGAATACTGTGGGAGTAGTAGCAATGGATTTCCAGAGGAAAAAAATTGCAGACTACAGGAACCAGGAGACTCAGGTGACCCTGTGGACACAGATAAACCTCCAAGTGGCCTCAACGACCCTCTAAAAGGATGCAAATGATCAGCTGTCTGCAAGGAATATAAATCCTTCCCCACTATTGTGTCAGAGCTGAAGAGGCTTCTTGGATGAGAAGCAAAACGTCTTCAAAGAAAAAATGAAGTGCAGATATTTCATTGCCTACCTAGGTGACATCTTCAGTTCTAGAAGAGAATGGGGTTTGCTCTCTCTTTATTAATACAGTGGCTTCTCCTATGGGTGTTGGAGAAAGTGTTCTTTTTTATTTATTTATGTAGCAGTCTTCCAATACTGGAAGAGCTATGACAGAGAAGATGCGCTCAACCTATTCTCCAAAGCACCTGAGGGCAGGGTAAAAAGTTAATGGATGGAAGCTTATCAAGGAGAGATCCAGCCTAGAACTAAGGAGACATTTCCTGACAACGGGAACAATTAATCAATGGAACAGCTTATCTCCAGAGGTGGTGGGTGCTTCATCACTGGAGGTTTTGAAGAAGAGATCAAATAGCCATTTGCTCAGAATGGTATAGGATCTCCTGCCATGGGTAGGGAGTTGGACTACAAGACCTCAAAGGTTCCTTCCAACTCTGTTATTCTGTTATTTTATTATTTTATTTATTTATGTTATATTTTATTACTTTATATATATATATATATATATATATATATTTATTTATTTATTTATTTATTTATTTATTCAATTTCTATAGCTGCCATGTGAAGCAGGCAACTCTGGGGGAAGAGCAATCATAAATCACGTGTTAACCAAGGTGGGAAATTTGCGGATCTTTCATTTGTTTTCGGTCTACAAACACAACAGCTCTTGGCAAACACGGGCAATGCCTCAGCTTGTTAAATGATGCGATGTCATCCCCAAAATCCGAGTAGTTTCAGGTTCCTCCTGCTATTCTAAGACATTTCCACAGAATCCCATCGCCTTTTCTCTGTGCTTCCTTCTTAATACTCCCACCGTTTATCTGGTTATTTCCCACACTCTCTGTTCAACATTTTAGCTGCTATCTCCTTTTCTCCCTCCCTCCCTCCCCTGCCTTCCTTTGTTGCTCTAAACTGTGAGCCAGCAATTCATGCGAAGGCTGCCTCGCTCCTCTCCTCCTGAAATATATCACTCCAGAAGACGGATGCATTTAAAAAAAAATTAATTAATTATCCTCCTTGTTTGCTTTCTGCCCAGGATGCATATCCTCCTTCTCCTCCTCCCCAACATTTCAGTTAGTAGCTTGGTCCCTGCTGAGTGTTTATTTCTCTCAAATATCATCTGCCACTCATGGTTCTCTCTCTCTCTCTCTCTCTCTCTCTCTCTCTCTCTCTCTCTCTCTCAGCACACTTGTAAAAGTTTTATGCTGAAGAACTAAAAGAGGGGTCAACTTATTTTCCAAAGCACCCAAAGGCAAGAAAAGAAACAACAGATGGACATTAACTGAGGAAAGATCCAACCTAGAACTAAGGAGAAATGTCCTAGCTGTGAGGACAATCAACCAGCGG